GCAGTGTAACAACAACAACAACCAGCATCAATCACTATCCATGGGATAAATGATAAAGAGACAGCTTCCTTCACTTATCTAGGAAGTAGAGTTTCAACCACAGGCGGGACGGATGAAGATGTCAAAACGCGCCAGAATCGGAAATACAAGGCAGACCTTCCGTCAACCTGAATCAGTTTGAAAATCTTCTGTACTCAGAAGCAGAACGAATGAAATTCGGATTTTCAACACTAATGCCAACGCAGTCAGTCAGAGATCGTTGAGTGACATTTCGCACAAGAGCATCTCTCTAGTAGAACCTAAATGGGCAGCGAGGAGAGCGTCATCCGAGGTTGTCATGAAGGACATCGTGCGAGAAAGAGATGATAGACTATGAGCAATCCTTGACCCAGCTGAAGAGAGCGACAGAGAATAAAACAAAGTAGAGATGTGTTTTTGAAGCCCTATGTTCCTCTTGGAACCCAAAGGAACAATATCCAGATTTCTAACACCAATGCCAATTCAATCATTTCTTCTATGCGGGTCACAGAAAGAATTTCCAACAAGTTATAGATTTCCAAAACATTTAATACCCTTAATGAATTTGAACAAAGCAAGAATTATACTTTTAGCAGAATAAAGTGTGTACCATTTTTTATTTCGTTGGCATCTCGTCAGCTCATCTGCTTACACGTCAAATACGTTCTTAAATGTTTCAAAACCGGATCTAGAAACTTAGTTCAGAACTATCGTCCTGTTAGTTTGACCAGTATTGTTGTTAAACTACTAGAAAGAATAATTCGTGATGCTATCATTCAGTTCATTGAAGGGAACAAACTTTTCGCTGTGGAACAGCACGGTTTTAGAGCAGGTCATTCTTGCTTGACCAACCTTCTTTTGGCCAGAGAAAGTTGGGCAAGCTCAGCTGATGCTAATATACCGGTGGATGCCATATTCATAGACCTTAGCAAGGCGTTTGACAGGGTTTCTCATTCAGGTCTTCTAGTAAAGTTAGGTAGTCTGGGAATCAATAAAGTGGTTACCGACTGGATTCAAGACTTTCTAAAGGACAGAAGACAAAGAGTACGAGTTAACGGGGTTTTATCAACATGGGAATCGGTTAAGAGTGGCGTTCCTCAGGGTACAATTCTAGGCCCACTTCTTTTCCTGATTTATGTTAATGAGATTCCATCGGTAGTTAAGTCATCCTGCTTACTGTTTGCTGATGACATCAAGATATGGAGGGCTTTGCACGATGACAGTGATCAACTTGCTTTGCAGGAAGATTTAAACTTGTTAAGTGATTGGTGTAAGCACTGGGCCTTGGAGATTAACTTAAGCAAGAGTGTAGTTATGCATGTATCCCATAGTCACGTGCACAATTACTCAATGAATGGCATTACTCTCCCAGTGGTCACTGAGTACAAGGACTTGGGAGTGGTTGTGCAGCATGACTTGAAAACAGCAACAAACTGTAGAACTGCAGCCACTAAGGGTTTTCGAATGTTATGGGCCATACGCAAGGCTTTTGCGAACTTTGACGCTGATATATTTCGTATATTATATCCGACTTATATCAGACCTCATTTGGAATATGGGATCCAGGCAGCGAGCCCGTGTTTCAAATACGAAATAGACTTATTAGAGGGTTTCTCAACCCTGTCATATGAGGAGAGGTTAAGTCGACTGGGTTTATTTCCACTGTCATACAGACGACTTAGGGGTGACCTAATACTAGCATACCGTATCCTAAGAAATGATTTTGGAGCTAATTTATCTAAATTATTTCTTCCTTCTAGCACCAACCAATTGCGAGGACATCACCTCAAGGTTCAAAAACCACGGTCGAATCGTCTGCGTCTGGAGATCCGTTTTTCGCATCGAATTGTGAATCATTGGAACTCCCTACCGGAACACGTCGTATCAGCGCCATCCGTTGATTCATTCAAGGCGAGATTGGACCTCCTGTATGCAATAAATCGAAAGGATTAACACAGGCATATAGCCTACTATCCTAAATAAATTGTAAACTGTAAACTGTTTCTACAGAAACAATTCTAACATACTTGCACAGAGTTCATTTTACACAAAAATCAATCGATTTATGTATACATATGCTAATTATATATATATATATATATATATATATATATATATATATATATATATATATATATATATAATATTGAACATTATTTCGAACAATAATAATCATACACAATGGAAACTTTTAGCATTTCACATTCGGATGAAAGAGAGATGAAAAATATCCAGTTACCATCAGGATGCGCAAAGAAAGACTGATAACCGCTTTTTTCTGGACGCATAAATCAGGTTTCAGGAGCTTAATAGAAATGGCTTCACCAAACTTGCGGAGAATTGAACTTTTTTGCCTATTGATAATTTTGAACGACTTTTCGATGTCCACCTCATGACCCACGTCGAGGAAATGCCAGGCGACTGCACTGTTTAAAGCATTTGTTCCCCTTAGACGTGCATGTATGTTAAAATTGTTTTTGTAGATATACTTAATAATCTCGTTGCCCTGAAGGCAGCTGATGAGAAGGCAATGAAATAAAAGATGGTACCATTTTATTCTACTAAAACTGTAGTTCTTACTTTGTTCCAGTTACAGATTTTTTATCAACAGCTGCCCGCTTCGCTGGCTTCATACTCAAGACTAAATGACCGGCCAGCCAGGAAGAATCAGCAACAAGACATTCTGGGAAAGAAACAACCAAGAATTAATTACTCAACAAATATGTCAGAGAAAATGGATCGGTCATACATTGAGGAGGCCACTGAATGAAATCCCGCGCAATGCAGGCTATTTCTCGAGTAAAGTCTTAATGCGAAGCGACGAGTGGGTCGTCGGTGCGAGGATAACATGGAGGAGATCGTGTTGGAGGCGAGGAGACGAGAGATTATGGTCAATCGTGGACTCAGCTGAAGTGGATAGCACCAAATAGAACAAAGTGGAGTGCGTCGGTGGCACAGTGGTTAGGACTCTCGCCGACCATGCACATGGTCCAGGGTTCGAGCCCACGCCGGCGCACACCTGATATCTATGGTCGGCCTGCAAAATTTGGGCTACCGATATCCATGCTGAAAATTCAATACTTGTACCAAAAATACAGTGTGGAATCAAGCTGTAAATCAAAAAAATATAAGAAAAATATTCCGTATTCCCTGCTGCGGAATTACGCTGCGTCTTTTAAAAACCACACCTCTTCTGCGTTCGGGAATAAGAGACAAACAGCCTAATTTCGCCTCTTTCATGTGTATCTACTAATTTAACTGTTCCTGTGGAATTAGCCAGTTACATAGGCCGTACAATTAGGCGTGTTTCTCGTCGAATTTCCGAAGATCACCCTGCATAGTGGTTAAGCAAAGGACAAATAAAATCTATTCGTAGCGCTATTCTGTCTCATCTTGTGGAGACAGAACACAAGACTGATTGACGTTAACCATGCTTTCAGGATCATTTACCGCATACCTAAGAATCTCAATTTTGCCTTAAGAGTTCGACTGCTAAATATTGCGCAGGCTGTGTGGATCCATATTAACAAGCCTAATTTATGCGTCCAAAAGAGGCTAGTTCAGGCATTATACATTACCTTGGCCATCCAGGTTTGAATAATCCTGAATTTTTGTGGAATTTCTCTAATTTTAGTTGATATTATATTCGCTATTATATCTTTACTATTATTATTATAATTTAAGCATCTTTAATGAACTGTGGTAATTCCATTGCGATCTTACTTTACAGAAATCCTTCGTAGACGCCTCTCAAAATCGCTGAGGAAAACATACTTCGCCGCTAGCCTACGACTGACGTTTTCCTGCAAGAAACTGTTCAGCCAGAACGCAAAAGACAAGCTGTCGCATTGGGCCACCTCAACGTGCATATACCAGTTTACTTGCTCTTGTGGAGCTGAGTACGTTGGCCGTACCATGCGCCGACTTGAAAAACGCGCTCGTGAACACTATCCAGCCTGGCTAGTAAAAGGAGAACGAAAACGGGTAAATAGTTCGGTGACAGAACATCTGGTTAATTCAGGACATTCAGCGCCACTCGAAAAATCCTTCAAAATCATTTACAAGATTCGATCAAACCCATCAAAGGGAGTAAAATCAAGACATCTGGGCATAGCCGAGGCGCTAGCTATACAAAAGCTCAAACCCACGCTTTGTATACAAAAGAAATACGTCCAACCCCTGTCCTTGCCATGGCCATCATAAACAGGTAATTTTTAGTAATCACCATCCCATCGCCTTTCTTATCTAAACTTCCTGTTTATTCATGTTACTTTCAAGTTTTTCTTAATCCCTGTTTACACTACCATATTTTCATACCCGAACTTAGTGTTTATTTTGTCATTTTACTATTTCTACATATTTAATCCCTGATTGCATAAACAATTATTCATCACATTAGTTTTTATCCAAACATCCTGTCTATTTTGTTATTTCTACATTTCTAACCCCTAATTGCACAATGTCAGTCTTCTTAGTTATTATAATGCTACTTTGTCTGTTTTATCCATCCCCCTGTTTATTATGGCATTCTAATTCCCAATTTTAATTATTATTAATTTGACCCTTGACCGGATATTATTCTGGAACTTTCCCATCCATTTGATATAAATACACGAATGTACAGCCTAGATGATGACTTCGTCGAAAAGAAAATTTTCTTCGCTGCAACTGTCTTCTTATTTACTCCTATGACCCAAATCGATAATACTTAAAAACACTAATACTGTTATTGACTGTTAATCTAGAATATTCTGTGTATATAAACACACATTTATATGTATAATTGTAGAGCCAGAAGAGGAATTTATCAAAAAGAATATTCTTTCCTCGATTATTTTGTGTTTTAAAGTGGGGATGTGTTGCTGAAGTGAGCTCCATGTTCCATTCAAAACCCAAGGGAACAATAATATAATAGCTGTAGTGATTGATATCAGAAAAACATCAAAATCGTTATATAATCATGTATAAACAAAAAAACTAACCTTGCATTTGATATCACCTTATATTCTGGTGTTTCTTTCACTCTACTAATTACAGAACAAGTAAGATGTTCAACAGGCAATTTATATTTATCAGAAGATCTTATTGAAGGTGACATTGATGATGATGTTGACTTATCTTCATTTGTATAATTCATATTAAATGTGATTGGATAAGCACGAACTGATAGGATAGACAATCCATAAGGATTCACAAGCGAATTATCTACATAAAACGGTGGTACATGTACTGGTTGATTTTATTATGATACCAGTAGACTTGTTGTATTGGGATAGGATGTGATTGTGGTGATGTTGGTTTCCCAGTATTTGTGATTGGTCGAAATCGGCAGGCGATACGTGCTGGTTTATTCTCCAATAGAATTGGCTTATTATTATTATTATTATTGTTATTTGGCTTCGTTTTTTGAATTAATTCTTCAATTTGTGCATTAATTGTATGCGCTATAGATGCATAGGTATGATCTTGATTTACAGGATGTTTTGGGAAATTTTGACTGCTAGCGTCGTCTAAGTTCGTGCTAGTGGTAGTAGAAGTATCTTTTTCTTCAGGGAGAATATAAATCTGTGGAGAGATTGGTTCATACAGTTCCCAATCGATTTCATAATAGGCGACAATAGGATCCTAAAAGGCAGGAAAGAAATCAGGCAATTAGAAGGTACAGGGATACAATGAAAGCTGAAATAAGTTTGTTTTATTATTATTTTACTTTATCTCTTAGTTAGTTTTGAAAAACACTTTTTTAATTGAAAATTATTTCATGAGTGTCGCCTTCTGGGGATTTCGTTAGTTTCATGTGAGTTATTGGACACCAGTCCCACAGCAACATTAGACGCCTTGAATTTAGTCAAGGTGTTGAAAGCCGGGAAGGTATCGGAACGGAACGAAATTCATTCTAAAGCACTGAAAACGAATTCACAGACCGCAGCGCATATGCTCACGTCAGTATTGCGAGAAGTTCCGAAGAGGAAGGAAAGCTACTTACTGATTAGAAGAAAGACGGTCTTGTCAAACTGCCAAAGAAGCACTGCATAGGTCTGTGCAAAAACTGGCTCGGAATAATGCCCTTATCCATTCCAAGCAAAATATTAAGTCGGGTCATCCTGGGAACTTAATAAAAAAAGATGTACTGGATGCACAACTCTACCCACCGAAATAAGTTGGATTGAGATCAGATCAGATTGCAACCCTGTACTACATCCTCAGCGAACAGAGCAGTCAAATCTCCCATCATCTGAATATCATCGACTTTGGAAAGGCCTTCGACAGCACTGATTGTGGAGTAATTTGGAAACTGCTTCAACACTGTGGAGTGCAGTGCCTCAAGTCTTTATCGACCTCATTCAACAGCTGGTAATATGACATTGCCGACACCAGTCAGGTGATTTCCAATAAAAACTTAGAGAGGTGTTTGAAATGAATGCAGGAGTAAGACAAGGCTGCCTCTTATCATCGATGATACTCCTAATTGTGGTGAACTCGATTGTGCGGAAGACAATGAGTAGGGAACAATATAATAGGAATACGTTGCACTGGTAAAAGGACTAAAAGATCTGGACATCGCTAACTATTTATGTCCAATAATGTCACATAAATTCGAAGACCTACAGGCGAAAACCAACAAGCTAGCAAATGAAGCAGGTAGCGAAAACAGAGTTTCAAGTAAATATAGAAAGGACGGCGGTGACGAAAGTAACCTGTTATGTTGTACTCGTCGCCAAATTATTGTTATGTACTGGTCGAGAATTTAATAGTCCTGACGCAAGAAAGACTGAAATCAGAAGACCACTAGGTTTGCGATGATACTTCTATTTTCCAAACACAAGGAGAATCAAGTCACACAAGAGTGTGCGAGCAAAAATATATATGAATGTCCGAACAAGTGTGTGAACAATCAATAGACAGTCTTAACATGATTGGCTAATTATAATGGAGTATCGATTCATATATACGTAGCAAAATATAGCAGACATGTCAACAAACACACATATTATATGGATATATATCACCAAGGACAGACTGTCAACAAACACACATATTATATATAATATAAGGGGAATATACATTGTTAAAGGAGACAGGTTCATCAAAGTGAAATGGTCACAGACTAAGAGAGCAACAGAAAGAGAGACCACCATATATACATATATATATATATATATATATATATGGATACATATCATAACCAATCAACCACAATCATCAGTCACTATCAACGGAATAATTTGAAAAAGGTCACGTTTTTCACTTGTCTAGATAGTATCATTTCAGCTTCAGTAGGAGGAACAAATGAAGATGTCGGATAGGAAAAGGAAAGGGGACTATTTATCACCGTTTGGAATAAAGCTGTTATTATTATTATTAAATTTAGAAGTCTTTCTCGTTCATAAGATAAGTATGATAGGTATGTCAGTTCTTCTACATTGGTTAAAAACTTGGCATCAGCGACACGAATTGCATTTCAAACATGTCACTGCACAGTTTTATAAAACAGCTGCCCCGATTGGCTGCATAATGAATTTTAGACAGTCCACTGGTAAGAATTAGCAGAAAGAAACTCTGAGAACGAACCAACCGAGGAACCGTTGCTTCCTATATATGCAGAAGAAAGTGAGGATAGATCGAATATACCCTGAAGAGACAGTTGGGTGACATCATGCGGCAGATAACCACTCGAGTAGAAGCCGAATGGGAGACGACCAGTTGGGCGTTAACTGGAGCTTTTGAAATAGAAGAGACAGTGTGAAGAGGAGATGAGAGGTTATGGGCAATCGTGCTGTCAACTAAAGAGGACTGAAGAGAATAAGACAAAATGGCGATGTTCCAATCGGAACTCAAGGGAATAATGAGAGAAATAATAATTTGAGATAATGAAATGACTACAGTCAACGGGTTAGCATCGTACTGTGAAAGTCCCACTTCCAATCACGTGTAGGACTATGATTTCGTACTGATGAAGTCAACATTCTGCAGCAGAACAAGCTAAGAATTCTGTACTATATATCGACATATTGTTTAGAATAAAAGTGTCATTATTTCAATAAATATTATGTTTGTTTGATTGAACACTAGTCAGTAATTAGAGTAATGTGTCTAGTCCTTTGTTTGGTGCAGAGTGAATTCTATCAATCAAATTTGAAATGTGGCTACCATTCTAGCTGGCTAGCCATCACGGTGTACCTTGTATTGTTGATATTAGACGGCTGGAGGCAAATGGTAGGAAGCCAAGCCTGACTTAAGTTTCGTGCTAATTGGCACTTCTCAGTAAGGCGTATCTACAACTTGGAAGGAACTCATTTCCAAGGCTTCCTGCCGACTGCCTCCAACCACCTAATATCAACAACATAACATGAACCTTGATGGCGAGCCAGCTAGAATGCTGGCCACATTGTAAACTTGACTGACAGAATTCAGTCTGCACTAAACAACAAGGACTAGACACATCACACTAGTTACTGACTAGTGTACAATCAAAAGTATCCAATACAGTCCTACAGGAGGTCAATCGCCAACCCGAAGAGCTCAGTGGTAACCTCTCTAACTGCAGCACTGGGTGACGGGGGCTCGAGTCCCGGAAGGGATATGAGTTCCTTCAAGGTTGCAGATACGCTTCCCTTGATGAATATTTTATTTATTTTTATTTATTATTTTATTATAGCTTTACTCCACAAAGTATTTTTGATGCAAGTATGGAATTTTCAGCATGTGATATAGGAAGCACAAATTTTGCGGGCTGACCATTGATATCAGGTGTTTGTTGGCCGGGGATCAGACCCTGGACCACGTGCATGGTCGGTGAGAGTCCTAACCGCTGTGAGTGTCAACAAGCACGAAACCCCAGTGAGCCTAGGCATCCTACCAACTATCTCCAACAATCTAATATCGACATATTATGTTCACTGAAAGTTCCAAGTACATACCTTTCACAAGATATTTTATTCATTTTCAAAACAAAGATCGTCAGTTATGGTAAACATCAACAAAGATTGAAAAAAATGCACTCAGAAATCAAGGTTGTCATGTTCAATCACTTTTTTCGTAGATTGCAGCTCAAGGTGTTTAGAAGACTCTGCATTTTCTCAGCATCCTCGCCTAGAAGGACTATATCGTCTGCATATTCTAAGTCAACAAGATTATTCCCTGGTGGTAGCGAATCAATCCCTGAGTTGCTGAAGTGAGTTAGGGCATGTTGAAATAGTATGACAATCTGACCAGTAAATTACCATTCATGTCTTAGTTTCGCAGATCAAATTGATTTCAAGGAGAATTTCATCACGAATCTATATCAGTAACAGATTCACTTAGAATCAGAGAGTACTGGGCAATCGTTTCCATCCTACTTAATCTCGACAAAACAAGAAAAACGTCTAGGTTAACTACTTGTAGAAAACTAACGAACCTCAACAACAACAAAAACAACCAGCACCAATCACTGCCAACGGGTGAAATCTGAAAGAGGATACTTCCTTCATTTATCCAACCAGGAAGCACAGTTGTGTCAACCACAGGTAGTCAGAACAGATGAAGATGTCAAAATCACCCAGAGTCGGAAAGACAAGGTAAGCCTTTCATCAACCTGAAACCAGTTTGGAAATATTCTCCACTCTGTAGAATAAATAACAATTTTCGGATCTTCAACGCAAATGTTAAGTCAGTCAATTATTCTTCACTGATCAGAAACTTGTAGTGTCACAAAAGGAATTTTCAACAAGTTTCAGACTTTTATAAACAGCTGCCCATCTCGCTGACTCCATAATGAAGATCAACTGGCCGCAAAGAATCACACCAACAATAATCTTTGGCTGGCAACAAACTAACAGGCGAGAGCTGACTGCTCAACAAATATGTGGGAGAAAATGGAGATGGATTGGGCATACCTTGAGGAGACCGTAGAATGATAAAGGCGCACAATCCAGACCATCGCTTGAGCGGAATCCATAAGGGAAACGATGAGTGAGTCGTCAGTGGGAGGGCAACATGGAGAAGATCGTATAAACAGGGGAGATGAGAGATTATGAGTAATCGTGGACCCAGTTGAAGAGGACTGCAGAGAGCAGAAGAAAGTGGAGATGTATTGTTGAAGCCAGATGTTCCACTATGTTCCACTCGGAATCCAAGGGAATAATAATAATAATGACTACCTGTGGTAGTATGCGATTTTCGAATATTTTGGAGATGAAGGTTTCCACTTCAAAAGAGCTCAAAGTGTAAAAATCATCAGGCATCCAAGAAGAGACAAGAATGTAACTGACAGTTTACTCTACTGAACTTGTCAACACAATTTGCAGGTTTTCAAAGATGTGTCATTAAAACTGTAAATTTCACATAAAAATTATGTAATACAGAAGGAATCAATCACGTAGTAACTTAAGTAAAATTAAATAATTAAATCACATAAAATCACTCAGTGAACAGGACTGGGCAGAAGTCAGGTAAAATTGAAAAAGAATTAGACTAAGTTCAGTTTCTACGGTATGAAGAAGTTTGACTCAAGATTTCCGCATTCTCTACAAAAAACTGTGAAGTCAGTTTACGAGTCCGTTAGGTGTTGAGAATCGTTCGGGCACAACTAGCTCTACAAGTTACACACTGGTGAAGATAAGATAAGATAAGCTTTATTCCAAATCAGTACTTGTGATACAGAATGGAATTCTCAGCATTTTACTACAATATTGCATCCAGTTTTTTACATTAACAATAAATAAAGTTCTACATAGATTAAAGTTATCTCAACAACATATTAGTATGTCGGTAGCAAAGCCAAAATTAAAGTGTTTGAAGGTGTTTAGAAAAGTAGATACTACTTGCATATATACTGGCGTAAGCGATAGCAAAATGGTCGAGATATACAGAGTGTGAAAGAACGAACAAGAATGTTTTAAGTAGAGTTTGCAAGGAAGAGAGAAACAAAGCAGCACATAACAAAATAAATACAGAATGAAGAGAGAGAAGACGTTGTACCTATAAATGATGTGAGTTGGAAAGACGAGATCCATTGGTTCTACTGACTATTTAATAAGTTAAAGGTTTCACGCCTAATGCTTTCTTTGTCGCACAGAACACGAGCTAGGTAGGGTATGGATGAGTTTTTGTACTTACTAGTGCGGGCATATAGTTTCCTATATAGGCTTCTGGTTTTCCCTAAAGAGATACATGGGGAGAGTTGTGAATATAGAGGGTGTTGTGAGTCAGATAAAATGGATTTCGCCCATTTTTCACATGAGTCCATGTGCCTGTCCACCAGAATATTAACAAGCCAACAGTAGTATCCTTCCCGTTCATACGAACCATTGGTTTTGTAGAGAAAGTGATTTGAACTTCAACCGCAAAGAAGCTTTACTCTTCAATGTGCAGGACAGGTGGTTTCTCTTATTACTTTTGGCGATGAGTCTCCAGTGAATTACGGATTCAGAAATAGAAACCTTTTGGAGGCATAATATCCCTTATAAATTAATTGGACACGAATTTATAAACCTGTTGGTTTAAAATCCTTGATTCAAGCAAGTATTTGCTTTCAGTTTGTAATTTCCTAGATGATGCACAGATTAGTTCTAAATCGTTTCTCTTTCAGATTCTTTAACTGAATAGATCAAGAACGAAGCCTAGATCCCTCTCTAACTGTGAACTTCTAAAAGCCCACATCAAACTATATGATAATGTCCAGTGATATCTTTGAACTGTTGCAATAACATTTCTTACTGGCTCATACTGAAAGGCTTCTATTAACGTTCAGAAGCTGATATTTTGCAAAGATCTGTGACTTATCTAATAAATGCATAATTTTGTTTCTCTGAACAATGAATCTAACTACTTTTCAAGTTAATTCAGTAGTAAGTGTGATATACTGAGATTCTGAATCTTATAATAAAGGTTTTTTGTATTTTCCAATCAATGATTTATATAATACGATACTTTTGTTGTTTTCACTGATGTTTCGCTATTTCAAATGCTGCTGCTAGTAGCTTTATCAAAGTAGTAATATTAAATCAGAAGAATTTACAAAATCCACTCAGCTTATATATAACAACTTAATCAGCGCGTTCCTCAGTATGGGGTCATTTTTATTTGTCAAATTGGCCAGTTGGTAAATATAACAAAGCCATCATGTGTAGATTGTTGCAATTGATAAGTGTGTAAAATTGTAAAAGTAGCGTGTGTGTTTTTACATATTGAAATTGCTTATCACACTCGTGTTGATTTTGTCACTTCAAGAGGGTTCTTAGACGTGCACACTCTTTGATGTTAACGGATGAGAAAGAAAAAGAGGAATAAATATCAAACACTACTGAGACTCTCATGTAAACCAACTACTACCCAAGGAACTTCATCAACAAAATCAATACTGACACTAAGTATGGTCGATAACGTATTCCGAAGACATGGACTGCAACAGTTGTCATATCATATAGATCAAAAACGTCAGACGATATCAGAAGAGTACTAAATAAATACAATAGAAGCAGCCTTGTCTGTATAAAAAACCAAATCCCTATGGATTCTCAACCTAATTGTGTCTACAAAATAAAATGCTTGGAATGTGATGTGATATACATTGGACAAATATAGCGAGAAATGAACACCGTAAAGCTGCCTCTGTTCGACCACTGAGAAATCCATCTGTGAAGTAGAAAAGCTTGAAAAATCATCAGCCATAGGTTACCTACACGCTACACTATAGAATCAGGTCACAAAATTGATTTTGACAACGTAGAAATAATCCAGAAAAACTTCGGAAACCATAAAGAACATCTAATATCAGAAGCACTTCATACCAAATGGAATCCTAATTGTTTGAATAGGAATGATGGACTAAAACAGAATTTGTTCTGGTTACAACACACACCCCGCTCCCCCATGAAATGACAAAATCAACACGAATGCTGATGAACGGTGGTTAAGTTACCGTACATATAACCACTTTGATAAGGCCACTAGGAACAGCATTAAATAACAAAACGTCAGTAAACACAACAGTATCGATTTGTTTTTCATTCATTCATTGGGAAATACAAAAACTGTTATAATAATGAATGATTTGCCGATTGTCTAATGTAGAGTTGTCAACCTCTGTTTCTAGTGAATGGTAACTGGAAGGAACTGCAGATCGTAAATACGGACACTGTCTACCATCAAACAAAGGAAATACACACAAAATGTTTCGGGCAGACAGGACAATAAGAACTAGTTTTTGATTAAAAAAAAACAATAAATAAATAAACTCACTTTCCCAGCCCATGGTGATGGCATTACAAATTGACACCATAATTTCACTGGTGCTTCAGGTGATAAAGGATCAAAAATACGTGCCCAGGATAAATCAGGACCAATTTCAACATGCTTCCCCTCATGAAGACCAGGTCGTGTAGCTGTAACTGTACGACTCGGTGGTCGACCTTGTGGCAGCTGAGCATATTCCGTTGAACTAGGCAGCACAGGTTCACGCCATAACCATGATTTAACTGTTTGTGTTCCAACCAATGGACAGATTAATTTCACCTGTATAAATCAAGAGAGAAAATTGAAGATAAATAAATTCAATAGACAAGTTTAAATTCTAAATGAATTTTTTTAGATTTTCCCGTCAATTGATTGGACTGACGTACTTGGTCTCAGGTTGATATGTCGGTTTCTTGTACAGATGCTTCGACGATGTCTGGGCATGTAATTAGAAGTTAATTGGTGGATGGTGACTAGCATTGGAATCCAGGATAACGTGTATTTCGTCCCATTTTGGACTCTTTGGTGGTTGGAGGTACCTGCATCTTCCAGTGACTGGTGATGTTCCTACCTTCCTAAATAGGAATAAATGCGCGGTATCCTGGATTCCACTGCTAGTCACCATCCACCAATTAAGTCAAGAATGTTTTTAGAAGTCTAACTCACTGTAAATAATTTTTACTCCTGTCTTCGAAGAGCAGAATGTACAACGATCACCATAATACTGTAAGACTTACAAGCAAAAACTGACAAACTGGTCGAAGAAGCAGCCAGTGAAGACAGGACTCCAGGTGAACATAGACAAGACGGAGGTGATAAAAATAACCAACTAACCAACAACAACAACAGCACCAACATCCAGTGCCAATCACCATCAACGGGAGGGATTTGAAAGAGGTTACTTCATTCACTTATCTAGGGAGCACTGTCTCAACTACAAGCAGATGGCACGGACGAGGATGTCAAACCAAGCGAGAATCGGGAAGGCGAGTAAGAAACACATTCATCAACCTGACTGAAAACAATCTGGAAATCTTCGTCACTCAGCATTAGCAACAAAATTCGGTCAGATTTTCAACACAAACGTCAAGTCAGTCGGTTCTTCTATACGGATCAGAAACTTGGCGGGCGGGTCACAAAGAATATTTCCAACAGCCTGTTGCAGACCTTTATCAACCAACAACTGTCTTCGCTCTATACTGAAAATCAGATGGCCGGGCCGGAAAGAACCACCGACAAGAAACTATGGGACCAAACAAAACAAAACAAGAACCAATCGCCAACCAATAAATATGCAGGAGAAAGTGGAGATGGATTGAACATTACTCACTGAGGATGCCGTTGGGTGATATCGCGCGCGCGTCAGGCCGTTGCTCGAGTGGAGCCGGAAAGGGAAGCGGCGAGTGGGATGTCAGTGCAAGGGTGACATGGAGGAGATCTTGTGAAGAGGAGTTGAAACACAGTATGGACTAACTAACATGGATGCAAGTGAAAAGTACAGCAGCAGAAGACAGAAGCAAGTGGATAGGTGCAGTTGAAGCCATACGTTCCACTAGGAACCCAAGGGGATTAGTAATAATAATAAATAACTCAGTGTAAATAATTTATACTCGTGTCTTCAACAATCAGAATATACTACGACCACCATAAAACTCGAAAACTAACATACCAGACATCACTCATTGAAAGATGACATAAAACACGCATACATACACATTCATTGATAAATAAGACAGCTCATCATTTGACAAGAGTGAATACATCTTTTCAGAAAGATTTCAACGTCTTATGTATGTATATATCCTTCCGGTTTTGTTTATTTCCCCGAAAGGAACTCTGTCAAAACTGTGTATATATAACAGGATGATATACATCAAATGTCAACATCAAAATTACACAATAGCCAAATGAACAAAAGAAAGATTTCAATATACCGATAAAATATTCATTCAGACATCTATCAAAAACACAAAATATCAAAAAATCTTAACTTTTTAATTCATGAAAAATTCCCATTCGAACATTGATAGACAAAGAAGATCAGTAGTTCAGCGAAGAGACTCTTTTCCTCAGTGAATTCATTTTCATAGCTGTACAATCCCAAATATATATATGGTTATTTTGTGTGTGTGTGTATACATTAAATTGGTTAGACGAAAATACAATTAGTAAGTTCAGATGAATTTGGATGTTGATACGGGAGGGTAGTAACAAAAGTGATGAGTTGTCACAAACGACTGTTAAAGAAGAGTTACGTAATGAAAACATGAATAATTTGACAAAAGAGTTGTGCTCAGGGTGTACGTGGAGACAAAATGACCTATGGAATTGCGCGAGAGTTTTAAGTAGTTAGCAAAATAAGCATAGAAACAAAAATTAAGTCAAATCCAATTCATCTGAACTTACTGGATGTATTTTCGTGCGCCTTATATAACTTGAATCACCGGAACAGTTGAAATGGTATATTCATGAAGAAGAGCTAAGGTTAGGTAAGACATCTTTGAGTTGCTGAGGGAACATTGGACGGCTACTGAAGGATAGACACAGACGTGCAGAGTAGAAAGTTTTCTTGACCGCCCTGGTTAAACGTTGCGATATCGCAACATTTACCAGCTTGGTTCATCAGGGGGGAATTAAGTGCATAAAAAGCTCGATCCTGTCACACTTGGTCGATACTGGACATTGTATCGAGATCAACACAGCTTTCAGGTTTCTATGCCGAATTCCGAAGTCGTTATCACGTACAGTTCGCCTACGTCTCCTACACATATCTGAAGCTGTTGCAATAAGATCATCGACTAAACCGGAACTTTGTATCCAAAAAGAACACGTCCAGATGCTGTTCCTACCGTGGCCAAACTTAGACTGATGATTTTTCTTCTCACCAAGAGTGCTCCTTCCCCTTAACCCTCTCGATTTCTTTTTTATTGCTTTGCTTATTATTATAAAATATTATTATTACGATTATTATTATTATCATTATTGTTCGTCATAATTTATGCCCTTCATGCAAACATTCCCTCATTACTAACGGATTTTTCATTAATACGGACTTATTATTAGTGATATTATCTGTTTTCTCAATATATGCCTCCACCTGTTTCATTTCACATATTCGTTATCTCACCATGAACCTCTCATTGCAGTCTTACTATCTCCTGTTTAAGACAGACCATTCTGTGCTAGCCACTTACCTGACACCTTCTATTGTAACAACAGAAGACAAGGGCCAGGAAACAGATCGTTTATTAAGGAAATCAACACGTGTTTATATATTTTCATGTACATTATTATATCTTATTCAAGCAAACAAACGCAGTCTTCTGGTTGGTTGTTTCTTACAGAAAGTTAACCTTGCATCTCTTTGTAACCGTTTCTCGAATGTAAGATCATCTATATGTTAACTTTATCTGCCTACGCCAAGTCTGCTGTGATTGGTTGTTGAATCAGTCTTGTTCATATTTTCTCACGACCAATATTTGCGACACAAACATTGACGTAAATAATTGTGTACCAATTGGCCAGCAGCCTGCTTTCACCACACTATAATCTTGAACTGACTTGTCAATTTTCCTACCCCACACACTCTACAAATCTATCATAATTAATTACCACCATTGTCTCCCATTTTAAAATATTTTATAATCGATTTCAGCCTAAGCATGTTGGTCACACAAATACGACTATTTATTTTGACACCCCATAACTACTAATCTGTTATTCTACGTAACAAAAATGTATCCGCCATATAACTGGCCTTTATTGTAACGACAACAAAAAAATTAAATTTTATAATTGTAAAAACCTGAAGAAGAGAAATTATTGAAAAGAATATTCTTCGTTCAGACTGACTTTTAAATGGTATTTTGAAATAATGGCGAAGTTAAACTTTCGACACCACTAACTACCAATCAGCGACGTACCCAATGAGATTCACGAATGATGTCGTATTATCCAATGAGGTTCACAGAAGCAGTTCAATGTTGTATAGCGTTTGATTCACTTCGAATGCGTGACCTTACAAGGCTACTGTTACAGTTCGAGGAGGTTAGTGTTTTCCAGTATTTCCTGGATTTGAGTTGCTCCGGAAAGAGCGAATTTGTTTGTGTGGTGGTATCAAGACTTTAAAAAGCTATACCAAATCAGCTGATGGGTTTGCTCATCGTTGTGCTATATGTTTGAAGCCTACTAACACTAGAGAGGGTAAGCTAATAATTTTAATATTTCGTAGGAACTTTTTTTCGCGGATGTCGATGAAACAGTGCTTTTAAAAAAAGAAATACAGCCGTGGACGCCAGCGAGAGAACAATATTTGGGTAATAGGTTTGTATGACACCTCCCTCCGAAAGGGATTCGTCGAAAGGATAGCAGATAGAAAAGCAACTACTCTTATACGTATTATTACCAGACTTGTTAATCGGGAGTCAATTATACTTACGGACGAGTGAGAAGGCTACAATTCCCTGTCATCTCTGGGATATATTCATCATAGAGTCAACCATTCAAGTGATTTTGTGGATCCCGTTACGAGGACACATACAAATTCTATTGAAGGATTTTGGGGCAGTTTGAAAAATAAGACAAGGGCTATAGATGGATCTCAAGAGGATCTCATTTATAGTCATTTGGATGAATATATGTACACGATTTGGTGTAACTTCTTCATTGGCAGTCCCATACTAAACTGGGAGATGTTTCTCTCACATGTTCGAGAAAGATATCCCATGTAACTTTTTTGTTCTCTATTTTATGCTTTTTTTCTACAAGTATACATTTCCATTCATCACATATGCCTCTTTATTGTGATTGGTTCGTTCAAGGTCGTTTGCTGATTGGTTGTTAGTGGTGTCTAAAGTTTAACTTTGCCGAAATAATATTTAATCAATAAGGTCAGTCATAATAAACTTAATGGATGATTTACCTTAAAGTACTTATTTCCCAATGGGTAATTCACAGTGACAAAGTAGACTAATTTGGGCATTGGGTGGGTATACGATATTCATTATAATAAAGGTTTGTTTTGTATTTCCCATTGAATGAAAGACAAAACGATATTGTTTTTATTGACGTTTTTCTATTAGCAGCACAATTAAATAGCGAAACGTCAGTAAGAATAACAATATCGTTTCGTTTTTCATTCATTCATTGGGAAATACAAACAAACTTTATTATAATAAAGTAAACTAATACTTATGAACTAAAATACGATTCATTCAAAAACATATTATAACGATTGTTAGACTGCCTAATTATCTTTATACATAACCCTTTCAGATACG